TAGAACAGTTTTTCCTTCGGAATCCCTAACCATAATTCCGGCAAAGATCTACTCTGGCTACAACAGGAAAGGAAATGGAACAAGTCGGAGATTCAGATCCAGAAACTTACTATGTAAGGGGGACGTGACCACTCGCCCTTCGAATTATAGCTCCCCAGTGTTGTCTAGAAGCTTCAAATTGCAACTCCCCTGGAAACGCCGTCACCGGGGCAGGTAAAATCTTGGAAATTCCGGCCGGAATTTTCAAGGGTGCTTTGGAAAAGCAGAACGGAATGGAGGCTGGAGTACTTTTTGCAAAGGAGAGGATTTTGTGTTTTTGCAGAGAAAGAAAGTGATTAAGTGTCCAGGGACAGTGGAAGTTTTCTCTTTTAAAAGCAAAGTTAATTCTCCCACGTTTCCCTAATTATGGACCACGATTTGACAGTTATTGCGGGTTTCAAGGAAGTAATGATGTTGAGACCGCCGTTTGGGAAACGTATCCACTAATAATGCACAATTGAAAATTTGAGCGGGATTGGGAAGCGGGTCGTCTTCCCAGGTCGCGACTTGATCCGCCGGTTCCTCTCGCACTTCCGAGATCGAGGGTTGTGTGTTAGCACCGAGCTCGTTAGGCATGTGCCTCGACAATTAGCTGAACGAGGGCGATCTGTCCACTCTCGGGCATGTCTCAAGTAATGCTTATTTTGTGCCAAGTGTTGTTTTGTTCTACGTCACTAACATTTGGCAGGGCACTTGACGAGTCCAGATCCATTACCGAGATTGTACCGGCCCACCCACCGTAGGAAGAGTCCAACTGGAACTCTTGGGGCGGTGTAAATCCCTAAAACCTAGTTGGATTTGGAATTGTCCAGGTAATCTCATACCTATAAATAGGGTAGCTCATACCACAATTCAGGTACGCAATCTATAAGCCAAACATACTACCCCCCTAAACTTTCTAGCAATCCCATTTACTGACTTAAGGATCGGAGTATCTACCCTCGGGAGACCTCGAGGCTCTGTTTTGTAGGAAACCTTAACCGGAGTTCCACCGTTAAACCGGCGGCGCATATCCGTGCATCGTCACTGACTTAAGAATTTTTCTTCCATCGTTTTTTTCCCCTCTACATAAGCAAAATCTGACACTCCCTGTCTCTCGTGAAAGAGCATATCTGGATTGTGAAATGGATTTTTGGCTATGTTTATCTTGGTCCAAAAAACCCAAACTTCAATGTTTCTTTCTACATATTTAATTTACCATTTTACAATTTCTTAAGAACCCCTTTAATGTTTTTAACATCACGACTCAAATCATTATATATATATTAAAGCAAAGAAAGATAATCGACACGTGTCGCTCATTGAGACCATCAAGCCTCAACTAACACATGTTATTTGCTAATTGGTTGATCATTAATCAGTTAAATTTTTTTGTAAACAGTTAATAAATTATTTACTATATAAGATTTTCACAGATATTACAAATTACTGATTGTGAGCTTGAAAATAAATATTTTCGAAAATTACTGAGAAACTCCCGACTTCATAAGTCCTTTCATTTACGAGTTTAAACTTTCAACCTATTGTCATTTTGATCCTTAAAGTTCCATTTGTGTGCTACTTATTCTTTAAGTTTATCGATTTTACATTTTCAAGGACGATTAATTGTGTCTCATATTTTATTAGAACTACATCTAATCACCTAAAGTCTCCTTGCCTATAAATAGGCCATAGGCATTTAGACATAATTTACGTATTTTTTAAATATATTTTTTTAATCCAAACATAACATTAGTTAGTGGCGACAATTTTTATTATACAACTTTTGAAAATCTTTGTTGTAATATTTTTGACCAGATCTTACAAATATACCTCTCATAAATAATATCAATACCTCTTATTTTGATCTAAAATTGATTAATCAAAAAGATATTACAGTTTTAAGAAATATTAGTAACTACATTTTTTTAAGAAAACTAGGATGGTATATTTGTAACTACATTACCTAATTAATTCTTTTAAAAGATAAATTTTCAACATTGACAAACCCGCGCAAAGCGAGGGACACACACTAGTAAAAGTAAAAAGAAAAATGGCAGAGGCCGATAATTAGGGTAAATGGAATCTGATCTCCGTAATTGGATGAATATTGAGCATAATCTTTTAAAAGGATAAATTTATGGCAAACTTTTGATGGTCTACGATTACAGGAAAATGTTACTGTTATTAAATCCTGTCCTCGAATGTAAAAATTTGACTGTAGCATAATGTTGATAATGTAACTCATTTCCGAGTTTTGGATTATCTCTTCGACATTATATCAAGAAGAAAATAATTAAGAATAAAAAAAAGGGCCATGGAGATGAGAGATTCTTGCATCAGAAAATTGATGGATACTCCATACTTCTTCCCATTCTATAAGCAATCTCTAGGGACCGTCCACCCGTGAGATGCGGAAAACATGGTGCCGACAAATCTTTATCCTAGAATTAAATTGTACAATTTGAGTCATCGGATGTCACATTAATAAAGTATTTCGAATAAAGTTTTCAATGGAATTCGAATCCAAATCCTTACTTTATACCCAAAAAGGAAACTAGAAACAACGAAATACTTTAAAGACTACTTGTATTAAAGGAAAGGGGAACACGTCAAATCTGTGATACTCCTTCTGCCCTAAAATTATTGTCGATTTTAATTTTAGTACAATTTGAACTAAAAATGAAAACTCGAACGAGAAATTATTGTCCAATTTGAGATTTAATTTTAGTACAATTTAAACTAAAAATGAAAACTAAAACTAGATAATAATTATGAGACGGAGGGAATACTTGAAATCTAGTTCCATTTGTGGGGATCAGCAACCTCTTTTGGATAAGATTCTAGGGATATGGACATTGATATATTGCTATGGTTTTAGTTAAACAATTTTTTATTTAACACTTAGGGAACTTACGGTTAAAGTTGACTTAAATCGATGATGAATTCAAAATTCCCAACAAATTTTTTAACCCCAAACTTGAACGAAAATGCTGAAATCAATTTTCAAGGTGGCCAAAAACATCCTAGAAAGTATTTTACAATGCCAAATATAACTAAATGCATAGCTGCCAAATCATTCAAGTTATTTGCATACGACATTGTTATTTCGGGCAGGGGTGGAGCCAAGCTCCCTACATATGATGGGGTAAAATTTTTCAAATTTTTAATCTAATATACTCGCCCTTAATATTTTCAATTCACTTGGGGCAAAAATTGATTTTTTTTTAAGAAAATTCTAAAATTTCAAAGGGTTACTAGAAAAAAAAAATTCCAGCTGGGGCAATTGCCCCACTTCCCTTGTATGTAGCTCCACCCCTGATTCCGATAATAAGTCGTACCTTGACTTTTTGTAGCAATTCAAAATTAAGAGTAATTCTCTCTAGGAAAATGATTTTCCTTTGGGATTTGATTTTTTTTTTTTAAATTTTCCTTTGGGATAATTTTATAATAAAATTAATACAAAAACTGCACATCATTATGTATATTAAAGGAAAGAAAGATAATCGACACGTGTCGCTAATTGACACCATCAAGCCTCACTTTCAATTTATTATCATTTTAGTCCTTAAAGTTCTATTTATGTGTTATTTAATCTTCAAGTTTATCGATTTTATATTTTCAAGGACGATTAATTGTGTCTAATCTCTAAAGTCCCCTTACCTATAAATAAGCCATAGACATCTAGACATAATTTGCACAATTTTTAAATATATTTTTTTTATCCAAATATAATATTAGTTAGTGGTGACAATTTTTATTATACAACTTTTCAAAATTTTTGTTGTAATATTTTTGGCCAGATCTTACAAATATACATCTCATAAATAATATCAATACCTCTCATTTTGATCTAAAATTGATTAATCAAAAAAATATTACGGTTTTAAGAAATATTAGAAACTAAATTATCTAATTAATTTTTTCGAAAGATAAATTTTCAACATTGACAAACCCGTGCAAAGTGCGGGACACATACTAGTTTATTTTAAGACATAGAGAATACCAGTGTTTAATTTACTTAAACATTAAGATCTTATTTTAGGCAAGTAGATCCCAATATTTTCTTACAATTAGGTAAATGATTTTCCTTTGAGATTTGATTTTTTTTTTTTTAATTTTCCTTTGGGATAATTATATAATAAAATCAATACAAAAACTTCATAATTATTTTAAGAGAATACTGTGTTTAATTTACTTAAACATTAAGATCTTATTTTAGGCAAGTACAGTAGAACGCCGGTAAATTAATAATCGATAAATTAATAACTTCTAATAATTAATAATTTCCTCCGATCCTAACTTGGGAGCACTACAAAAAGTAGAAAAAATCGATAAAATGATAAGATAATAATGTTTCAGAAAATCCTCTATATATCTATAGATTCCGACAATACCATAAATTAATAATATCCTAAATAAAAAAAAGTAATGATAATATTTTATAAATATTTACTAGCATATGAACTATTAATATTTTTTTTAGTATGAGATAATGATTTGGATGATAGATAAAATGAAAATTAGATAATTTAGTAAGGATTATTTGTTTTTCTTACGTAAATTCTTTAAATTAATAATTAATTAATTTATCAATTATTTAATAATTCACTAAATTAATAATTTTTTGTGGTCCCCACACTATTAATTTATAGAATTTCTACTGTAGATCCCAATATTTTCTTACCATTAGGCAAACACGGATTACCTAAAAAGATGGAAAGAAATCAAGGAAAAAAAAAAAAACAAACACATCACACGTACAGTCACACACGGATATCCATAAAAATTACCACATTGAACTACGCTATTCACGCGGAGTGTGATTCGATTCTGCGAACCTTACTCCCTCAATTCCTGCCAATAAATACTAGTCCTTTGGGGTCACAATTTCATTACAAATTCATCCCCCAAAACTAGATCTAAAACATCAACCCTTTTTATTCTTCCATCTTCTCTGATCAATCAATTCATCAAGCAAAATGGCAGGAATCATCCACAAGATTGAGGAAACCCTCCACATGGGAGGAGGCAAGAAAGAAGGCGAAACCCACAAAGAAGGAGAGAAAGATCATCACAAGAAGGTGGAGGAAGGACACAGTGGAGGTGAGCACAAGAAGGAAGGAGTGATGGACAAGATCAAGGACAAAATCCATGGCGGTGAGGGCCATGATGACAAGGGTGAGAAGAAGGAGAAGAAGAAGAAGGACAAGAAGAAGCACGGTGAACACGGCGGCGAGCATGGTGGCCACAGCAGCAGCAGCGACAGTGACAGCGATTAAGGAAGGCAACAGAAGAGGAAACCTATGTTATGTTAGTACTAATGATGCAGAAATAATAATGATAAGGGATCTCTCTCTAGTACTAATAATAAATATGTGTGATTTGCTTCTATGTTTTCTTGTTCTTGCTTAGTTTTAACTTCAACTCTTGTATCATGAAGATGCTTTTCATGTTTCTCAGTAATGGTTACTATCTATTTTACCAGTTTTCTGCAAATACTGTCATGTTTTTTATTTCCTCAGATAGACTACGTTTCGGCTAATTTAAGCAAAGAACCCAATGGAGATCATGTAGTTGAAAAAACCAACAATAAGGACCTAATAAGATGAAAAACGATCAAACAAATTTTTGTACAATGGCAGTCAAAATTCTGTCATCCAACTGATATAAGATTATCATCAGAAATCAGAATGTATTGAATTGAATATCTCATGGAAGTAGATCAAAGAATGGTAGTGTGGCAAGAGGAGAAGGAAGAGAAGGGAAGGGTTTATAAAGTGGAAAAAAGAAGGATGAAAGGAATTGCACCTGCACAACACAAGAGAAAGGAATGTGTGGTGACAGATGTCGATACACAAGTGAGACAGGATATCAAATAAATTTGATTGAACTTTTGTAACAAACCGTACCAGAGATCAAATTCATAAGTCACATAACTGCAAAGCTCAAGAATTCAGAGATAATTGACAACTACACAGATAGGAGTGATGATAAGGACAACATAGATGGGGGTTACACGAGATTCAACAAAATTGCTCCAGCTTTTGGTTGGAACTTGGGGAGTGGGGTGTTGTTGGTTGTGAATCTATACAGTAAAAGCGACAAAGCAAAAAATGGTCCAATTTATATTAATCCACTGAAAGACAGTAACACACTACAAACGATCTATAGCTAGTCATTACACATTCATATAGACCAAAGATATCGATGAATTTCAAAAAAAAAAAAAAAAACAAAGGAGAAAGAAAGCATGGACGATTAGCAGATGCATTCCTCGGCCTCAGTTTATTCTACCAATTATTTCTATTCAATTTACATTTTCTATACATACAAACGCAATTCACCAAAGTCACACATTTGATATATAAAAGTTAGGACAGGATCTCTTGCATGTAATAAGTAAAAGGGCAGTCAAAACTGTGTCATCCAACTGAATTCTAAAAGGGCAGTAAAAAAAAAAAAGATAAAATCAACACCCCAATTCTACACATTTTTCTGAAGAAGGCAACTCAATAATGTATTGAATAAAGAATCAAATGGAAATGCAACATTCCTATGGGAACGAACATGGGAGCAAACACAATGCTCGTGTGGTAGAAGGCTAGTGCGGTGCAATCAAGCAATCTTACGGACTAAATTAAATTTATGCTGCATATTACCCTCTTATCCCCACAAAATGAGAGAATCTACATTGCTGATTACTTACTGTACGAGCAATCAATTAGCTCCCAATTCGTCTTAGACGGAGATCTTGCTTTGTCAATAATATTCGTTAGTGTATGGAATTACCTTTTCTCTAGTTGCTCAAACAAAAATCACTACAAAAGACATATATCTACCAAATGCTACAGGCAAACTGGCCAGAACTGAAGTATATCAAGCATTAGCTACCTTTTCTCCCTTAGCTCAGCAATTGGAACATAGGATACAGCAAATTCATTTAAAGCAGCTGCATCTACTTTGTTGGGCCTTCTGATTGGAAGGCTTAGTAAAATCTCCTGAAGTTTCTCAATCTTGTCCTTAATTTTACAGAGCCTCTCCAATTCATCTTCAGCTTCTTTCACCTCCTTTTGCGCGCTAGACCTCTTCAAATTCAATTTCTTTTTCTTCTTCACTTTTTCTCTTAGATGCTTGAGGCTTACATCATCACCGAAATCAACTGGGACCTAACATAACGAGTTTAAGATATCATATCAAGATGACACAGGAACACATCTGCATGACGATTTTGTCAATCTACAAGTGAATTGTAAGACAGCTTCTGTTTAACACAATTCATGCGACAACCAAATAAAAGAACGGCTTATTATATTTAGGCCATCTTTTGGCTTGAACTTGTGCTTGGATAAATGGTTTCTAACCAGCCAAGCTCCCAAGATTACATGCTTCTTAAGTGACGAAATAGCTCATTTACTCACATGGTTTCCTTTCAAATACGAACACCAAATCCTCTTTCATGATCCAAAACAAGAAAACTTTATACAGGAAGGTACTTTAACTACACTACCTAATCTTTTGACGGAATTTTGAACATGATTGTTCTATAAAAATAAAAAAAATCATATGAAATCAGGACATCGGTCTATTCTGTCTATAACGGGCTTTGAGGTAAAATGAAATATAATAGAGTTAAGAGTGCCGTTGGACTGAACAACTAAATTTTTTTAAGAGCTGAGAGGGGAAAGTGAGTGAGGATGATGTGCACAAGAGGTGTACTACCTTCTTGATGATTGGAGACAGAGGCAGTCCAATCTGCCGTCTCTTTCTCTTAAAATTTCTGGCAACTAAGCAAGCAGTACTTCTGTGGCTGGAAGTCTTCAGATCTCTAGAATTTTCCAACACATGCAGAACAGCCTTATCTCGTGATGCCATTGCATCAGCAGGATTGTTTTCCACTCCATCTTCAGATTGATTGGACTCCGTCGGACTCGAAGCATGATGTGTTTTTTCTTTCTGCAAAATATTTAAGACTAACTGTAACTTTGACGTCTCGAAAATAGTCTTCTTAAACTTTAATTACATGTAATTACCGTTCGATCCAAATAGAGTTTTGATAGAAGACAGAAATTACAATTTTAGAAGGCATTAGAGAAAGCATGCACTCATTGAATTAAGTTATAGAACAGAAGTTCAACTCAGACAATTAAATAGAAACAAAAATATGACTGGAAACATTCAAAACAAGATTGGTCATGCAATTTGTTTCCGACACGGCTAAAGACCAGGATAATTAGAACTTTTGTCAATCTGACGTTTTACAGGATAACAGTAACAATCACTGCTACCTTTTCAAAAAAACAATCACTGCTAACAAATAGAAAACCTTTAAACAGTAATTTAAAGTGCTTACCTTTCTGGCTTTCAGGGCAAGGTAGCGAGAATTCTTAAACCACTTGTTCACCTACAATTTAAACAAAAAACTTCTTAGGCTTGCTAAGAACATCTAAGATGGTGCCATCTAAACAGAGATTGATCACTAGAGCAGAAAGTATTATAAACCATGAGCCATTTGTATACTTATTTCAATTCAACTTCTTATTTGTCTCGCCACTTTCCAATGAAAACAGCACTAGAGCCTAGTTTGACTGCTGACTTTATTGCACATGAAATACAACGTTGATCAACATCTCAATTAAAAAAAGGGAACCGCAATAAACAACCCACACCCCCTTACCCCCAAAAAATTAATAAAAACCAATGAAAGCAGTATTTACATGCTAAGAAGGAATCTATAGAAGACTTAGATTTGATTATGTTTCAGATGCATACATAGGGTTCTCAGGTAATTGCCACATTCATTTTCTATTCAATTCAATCACCAATTATATTTTGCTTATTTTTTTAATTTTTCATCAAGACCAGAGCAAGAGAGTAAATTTACCTTCTCAGCATCGAGACCCAGTTGCTTTGAAAGATTCTCCCTGATGGTTCTAGATGGAAGCTCATTCTCGGCAAACACAATGCGAAGTTTCTGGCACCACAAGCAGAAAGAGAAAGATAAGTACAACTTAATCATGGTACGTTTTGGAAGAGGTTACTACATTCGGTTTAGCAGCACCTCAACCACATTCCGGGGAAATCTGAAAATTGGTCTTTTGCTTTTTCCGGTCCTTTTTGCTTCAGGTGATCTTTCTTCTGCAGAGTTGCATTCGTTCTCGCTTGATGCAACAATGATACTTTTGTTAGCAGATCGTTTCCTTTTCACTTCAGTAGATTTTTCTTCAGTAAAGTTGCCCTGTTTCTCCTCTACTGTCACATTGGTACATTCTCCACAAGGCTCCTTACCTCTTCGTTTTCTCCTAGAAGGACCCCAGTCTTCATCTTCACTGATCTGCTCACTAAAGGGTGCATTCTTCCCAAATAATTCCTGCAGATAGAGCCCAAAATCATATAGGAGATACATTTGCCCATAATTCAAAATGATTGGAACCAGTAAATTGGATCCTAATTTTACAGGCACACTTTTATAAATCCTATGAAAACGGTTGATTAACTTTAATGGATGCAAGTTTCTGTAGACATGGATAAGGTTTTGTATTCAATGAACCATTAACCTGATAAACATGGTTGGACTAAGCACAATATTTTTCAAACAATGAGCTGGAACAATTCGACCAAAAACTTCAAAAGCAACTATACAATGTCTTGATTATCTTGATTATCTAGAACGTACTGAATGCATGCTAGGGTTAAAAGTGTCATCTGATATATTAAGCATGTTCAAACGTGAGGAAATTTCTATACTTACATCGTGCAGCATTATATAAATAGACAAGCAACTATACAATGTCTTGATTATCTTGATTATCTAGAATGTACTGAATGCATTCTAGGGTTACAAGTGTCATCTGATATATTAAGCATGTTGAAACGCGAGGAAATTTCTATACTCACATCGTGTAGCTTTATATAGTCCACAGCTTTCCGTGTTCTTGGACCACACAAAATGTCACAATCTGTACCGTCTGAGTCTATTTCAGTGGATTTATCTTCAGAACCCCTGATGCTATTATCTAGCTTCTCAGAAAGAAAAAGAATATCATCCTGGAGTGACCTCAAACTGCAGGAGCTGCTACCAGAACCAGAGGAATCAGATTCATTGCCAGTCATACTGTTGGTGCAGCTATACTCTTTACTCTCTGGATCGTAGTCAACATCTTCAGAGTCATCAGATGGCCAGTCCTGTTCTTGGCATAGCATGGACTCTTTGCCATCATTTAAATTAGCTTCTTCTTTAAATATATCCTGCTTTTGGTCAATGGAGACATTCTTCATTACTATTGGTAGAAAGGAATGAACAATGTTTACAAAAAATATAGGAACACTATACAAAAACAAACCTGCCAATTACTGTCCACAGCAAAGTTAGTCCCTAAATGAGCATTTGTAGCTTCAAGTATTTCCATTTTACTCTTGCAATATCTACAAAACCATCCTTCATCTCCTGGAGGAACTGGATATTTACTGGTATAATTAGAAGCAATAAGGGAAAACTAACAACTTTGTGGTTCTTTTTTGAAAATGCAATTGCAAAATCTAACCAAGAAATAACTGAAGGAAACTCACTGTTTTCAGTAGAGAGTGGAGGATCTAGGCACTTTTGATGAAAGGCACGGTTGCATGTTCCATCACATAATATTATATCATTATCAGGGAAAGCTTCACGCAATTTGCATGCGGCACAGATAATCTACAAGCCAACAAGATCACCAATCTTTATAGAGAAGATTTTCATAAATTTTATCTTCAATTAACAGCACATTGGTTTTCACAATTCCCAGAACATGTCAGCGAACAGGACATATGACTTCTTCTTTTATTAAAAAACTTCATATACTTAATTTCTCCTGTTAGGGTGTGAGGTCAAGAGCCGGGTTCCATCAGATTAGAGGAAATTGATATATTAAATATCCCATGTCGCATATGGAAGAGTTAAGTATTGTAATACAATGTTGGCAGAACTGTTTGTAATAAATATATGCTACCCACAGACATCAGAGTTTAAGTGTAAAACAAACGATAATATTTTAGTTTTGAACTTGCATGTCAGCCTTCACCAGTAAAATTGCCACACGGCATATGCTCAAACTGAAACAGTAACAAGCACGAGGCTTTACTAAGAAGAGAGGAAAACAATAGGTTCAAGTAAAATAGGTTCTCAAAACGTACATGTTCGTGATGAACAGAGCCATCGGGAGCAACTGCTGAGTCATCAATACGTCCTGCAGAGCTGAGCAAATCTAACTGCCGAATTGCTTCACGAATCCCCAGTTTGCAATTCAATATTTGCTTTGTGGCCCTTTCCAGTTCTTTATCAGGTTTAATCTTTTCTCGGCTGAAGAATGACAAAAAGGTTAACACACTGCATATTTCTACTTGACTTTGTCTGAATCTGTGAGAAATGACTAAGAAAGGAGAGGAGCTTTTGCAGTTCAATTGAGCTTCATCCAAGGTTAAAACAGCATCTGCTAACTACCTCACATAAATGCATACCTACAACTTAAAGAACCAAGGCCACAATCATTGCAAAGTCCTTTCAAATATTTGGTATTTCAAACTTCTGGGAAACAAAAGGAATCGAACCCCAACAAACAACATTTATGATCTTGATTTCAACCGTCAGATGGGTTCAATATCCGCTGTTAGTATTTTTATCTTGTCCAACAGTGCTGTGTGTAAATTGCAGATCAGAGAATTTGCAGCTCAAGATGCATTGCCATTCAGTATAACAGTTTCAAAGGAAATATTCTAATACCAGGAGTCTAATACTGTAAAGCCCACGTGAACGTTGAAGCTCCAAAGTAAGAATTGATAGAATGGAAATTGCGTGGAGTTCAATCTGTCACATCAAATTGTCTCCAATAAAGGAAATTGAATCCTTGAGGTGTCCTTTACTATTATCTGTAGTTTCTGGTGATATATCTCAGCAGAGTATTGTGACCTTAAATGCTAGATCAGATTAAGAGACATATCTAATCAGGCAAAAAAATGATTTGAAGAGCTGTCACAACATGATAATTCACTTGAATTTCAGCAGGTAGTAAGGGTGTCAAGGCTACCATAGCTAGGTTGTAACAAGCAATCTAGCTTGGCTTGCTTACTCTCTTAGTAATCCTCTTCTATAATCGATAGGCTCCAAAATGGATCAGTTTTACATCAACAAATAAGTGATTGAACCACTAAATAGTTATGGAGAAATAGTTGGAGAGGTGACAAAACCAATAAAATGGAAAAGGATGGATTATATTGAGAGCCTATAGGAAATTGGGCTTGTAAAAATTAGAAAAAAAAAATCCTTTGTGCTATCTTTTTGAACAACCCTTTGCCAAACATCTATTAAGATAATCCATTGTAGAATGGTTATATTACGGAAGCTTTCTGTAAGGAACCAGGTTCAAATCCTTCTGTGAGAAGCGAAACCTGGGACAATATCATCCTCGAAACAAATGTCAAAGGACGAGGAAGCAATTTGGAAGTATCGCTGACTTCACATTTAGGTTCGTGGGCTCGATGACAAACTCAAATGGCAAGAGGATATGATAGAGCTCATCAGTGGGAAATTTAAAGGCATGCCACTGAGTGTATTAGTTATAAGAAGTTGTGATCCTTGCTTTATTTTAACTATGGGGAAAGTTAAAAAGGGATGAGAAAGAATGTTTCTGAAATCCTCAGTGTCAGCAACAGAGCACAAAGGGCAGAACCAAAATAAATTGAATAAAACAACTAGTATATTCCTTTCTAGAGACTACTTCTTTGTCACCTATCAAGAATTTTCACATTCTTTCCACTTTCCACTCTCATTACTACAAGGAGTGAAATTCCAGAAGAACAAAAACCATTGTGATCTATTGCTATAATTTGTTTGAAGTACAAATCAGTGTAGAAGTTCTGAATCCAGGGTTTAGGTGACACGTCGTTGCTCGTGATCGATTAAAGCCTACGTTCAAAGTAGGAAGTTCAATTGGCACAATAGCACACAGCATGCAGATTTTTAGAAAAAAGGGGGGGGGGGAGGGGGGAATCCTAGTCATTCATAACTGTTTCTGGAAATAGAAAATGTGATCAGATTTTTCCAAGGGACAGTTTAAGATACAAAGATCCAGTAGAAAAAAGTTCTCACATTCTCCCTAACCAATTTTACGTAATAAAACACAAGTGGAAACTTCTCACAAGGTTTGTCAGTCCGTGCAAAAGGGGGTGGAGAGAAACAAATCATGCAGTCCACAATGACATGGCTACAGGTAGCTGGAACACTTTTGTGGCAGTTATGAACTGATGCCAGTATAGTAAGGTAACATTTATCTTCAATGCTAAAAGTAAAAATCAAATGAACAGCACATTTCAGATATTTGGTCTCCTAGCACTCTTTCAGGGGTTTGGTGATGAAGAGGAAATTTTGACAGTGCATAATATCTCGGGAGGCCAAAAATACAACCAAATTTATGTGGTTTAACCATGCACAGAGTCCATTTCCAATGTCATGGACACTTTGATAGTCAAGCAGGATTACTATCCTTCTTTTATTTTTGTAAACTGTTCGATCGACAAAACGGTATTTGGGAAGTAATTGTTTGATGAATTCAATCGTCACTTAATTGGATACTATGAACTGACAAACGAACTGATCGAAATCAAAAGCTATGCAAAGAAACAACAAAAACAGATAACAAAGGTATAGTCCAAAAAAAGCAGTAGAATCGATTATACAGTCAAATAAATCCAGTCACAAGTGTGACGCCCAACAAAGTCTTTCAAGCCCAAGACAAGAGTGAAGATAAAATCACAGCACATGGTTTCCTTTATGAATGCAGTAGAAAACTAAATAGGTATATTCCCAGTTTCTTTTCCTCCATGGTTTGATGTTTGAGATAAGAATAAACACAAATAGCACTAGACTAAATCTGAAAAATTCATAGCAGAATAGCAGGATAAGCGACGGTACCTCTGACCTTTCCAGCCTTCTGTACAATATGCATCAATGAGATTCTGCTCCAGCTTAACTTTGATCAAGAGGTACCTCGTCCTCCTCTGCAAGCGTGCAGCTTCATCAAGCACTGCATTGCTTTTCCTCTTCCTCTTTCTTCGTTTCTTAACCTTCTGCAAGCCCATGTCAACAGTGCCATGCTTTCCACCATCCTTGGATCGCTTGGTACCAGTCCCAGATGTATCTTTTTGAGAGCTAGAGTTTGCCTGTTTCTTGAAGGACTTCTTGTGCAAAAGAGCTTTTGCTCTTTGGAGAAGGCTTTTCCCTTTCAATGCATTCCCTTTTCCATCATCAGGGCGATCGACCCGTTTCTTTTTCTTTAACCCAGAACCAATTCTCTTTAGTCCGGAATTGGGTTTCAACTTTGGTCTTTTACTGCACGGCTTATCATTATCTTCTTCATTCTGTGAACGGTTACTAAGTTCCTGAGTCTTTCGTTTTTTTACATCCCCGAGCATATCAAAGATTTTTTTTGCATCAACCTAAAAATTGTCAACGGAAAGAATATTGAGAAGAAGAACAAGTGATTCCTCCATACCAAAATTGCAATACAAAAACTAAACTGAAATCAGCCGACAACGACAATTTCAATCAATCAGCTAAATCACAGACAATTTTTTTACCCAAATAAAAAAACCATCGAAAAACAGATGAGAAACTAAACGGGAAACTGCATCCTCCAATCACTGACTTCCACACTCTACAAGGACACAAAGAATTGAGCTGGCAGGCAGCGGAACCGGCTACATACAAACAAATGGATACAGTAACTAGAATTGAGCATCGAAACTACAATTTTCATTTGGGTTTACGCAGAAAACAAAGAACAGAGTAAAAAAAATAGGAAAAACCCATCAGTTAACAGAGCCACGGGACTACCATAACACATTGAGCAAATTCCATCATTCAAATCATATACAGTACAGTCGGTGGAAAACACCTGAAGAAAATTCATCAATGGAATTCCAAAAGTGCATTTGGCAACGTGAATTTTACACAAACAAGGAAAGGGAAATGCAGAACATATACCTTGAGAATAACAAGAGCGCGAGGAATTGGAAGATCCGAAGCTAGAGTTGAATCGAGCAGCGGCGATGAACTTATGTGGAGTGTCGTTAAGAACAGCTACTGCTTCGGTACATACTTGTACATACCTCCTCCGCGCACGCGGAGATGAATGCTTTTCTTTTCTTTTTCTTTTTCTTTTTTTTTTTGAAACGGGTCAGCTTATGACCCGCGTTTGACCCACTAAATATTTTGCGGGTCTTTTAATTCTTTCTTTATTTTATTATTATTTTATATAGATTTTGTTGTTTAATTTTTTTTTGTTTTGGTGAAAATGTAAATTTGTATTTGTATTAAGCAAAAGCTCAGAGACACCAAAATACTTACAACGCTCTTTACAACAAAGCAACTAAACTCCCTACTTCTACTACAAAATTGGAGAGGTTTGATCCACCTAAGTATGATCACTCGCTATCACAGTCAACTAGATAGCTCATTTTACTGTCTTACACAGCCTAAGTTTGAAAGAGAAAAACAAAACAAAACATCAATTGCTTTACATTAATAACTTTTGCAGTATCTCTATTTCAACTTTGGTCCATTTCTTCCCACCTTTCTAGTCCATTCTGCACTTTATTTCCACTTGTATCAGCTTTTCACTATTTCCCCATGTGCTCTTTCTTTACCTTTGAACAGCCTCTGATTTCTCTCTATCCAAAAATGATACATTCCAAGCTTCCAGCCATAATTACAGCCCACAGGATTTTCCTTTTAAGTTTACAATCCTTCCAGATGCTCACCAGAGTTCTTCTCCACCTAGTCTCATTTTCTGCAAGTCTCTTACGCCCTAGCCAATCCACCAGTTGTCCAATCATCTGTTTAGCAAACTGGCATTCAAAAAATAGATGCTGGACAGATTCATTAACTTGTTTACACAAAAGACAATTCAAATCTGGAACTAAAAGATTCATAGCTGCAAGCCTGTCCCTTGTTAATAACCTCTTCTTCCAAGCAAGCGAAGCTATGGATGAGTGCTTGGAGATGTTTATACTTGACCATATACATTGTGTCTCTTTAAGTTTCCATCTTCCACCTTTAAGCCACTGATAACTAGACTTAATGGAATATCTACCATTAACTGAGTGTTTCCATCTGTTGCCATCAAACTCATCTCTTACCTGGTCCCTAAGTTTCAATATTTGTTTCCATGACCAACTTGCATCATTCTTCACTTCAACTTCCCAAATAGAACTCTGTTTTATGTAGATACCATGTACCCATTTAACTCACAGGGAGTCCTTTACTGCTATATGCCAAACTTGCTTGATAATTCCTGCCATATTCCAGAGCTTAGCATCTCTTATCCCCAACCCTCCTTCATCTTTCTTCTGGCACAATTCTTCCCAGCCAACTAAAGACATGGACCTTCCACTCTCTTTAACACCCCATAAGAACTCCCAACAGATTATGTTAATCATGCTAGTTACACTTTGTGGAAGAATAAACATGGATCCCAATACGAAAGCATAGACATAAATACAGAATTTACCAAGCACAACCTTCCAGCATAAGATGAGTTCCTCGTACTCCAACACTTAATACGAGACATAATCCTAGTTGTAACTATCTCTTGGATTCTAATTAAGACCACTTTTTAGGTGATAGAGACGCACCTAAATACTTCATGGGAAAGCTTCCTGGATTAAACTTGGTGATTCTACATATATTTTCTTGCAGCTTAGCACTCACACCCCCAAAGTATACCGAAGACTTCTGCGGGTTTGCTGTTAATCCTATTGTTCCAGTGAAGTCTTGAAACACTTGCATTGTACTCTTAACTATTTGGATATCTGCTTTGCAAAACACCATAAGGTCATCCGCAAAGCAAATATTGGTCATCCTCATCTCCTGACGCTTAGGGTGAAATCTAAAATTTTCATTCGCCACCATTTCCAAGTTTCATGTCAGATATTCCATCACAAGGACAAAGAGCAGGGGAGATAGAGGATCCCCCTGTCTTAACCCACGTTTCCCTTTAAAAAACCCAATAGTACTCCCATTTATTGACAAAGAGAAAATGGGAGACGAAACACAAACCATTATCCATATTCTAGCCATTTCTGGGAATCCATACCCAAATAGCATCTCCTCTATAAACCCCCACTTAACAGAATCATATGCCTTTCTAAGATCTATTTTCATCATCAATCTACCACTAATCCCTTTCCTCTTATACAACATGATCATTATGCAAAATTAAACGATCGTTAACAAAGGCATTCTGATTCTTGCAAACCAAACTAGCTAGTACATCTTTCATTCTATTACAAATAGCCTTTGAAATACACTTATATAAAATGTCACGGCATCTAATTGGTCTATATTGGCTAGCATTCGAAGGAGAATCTACTTTTTGAATTAAAGCAATAAGAGTTGAGTTTATTTGCTTTAATATTTGGCATGTGTGAAAAAACTCATGCACTGCTTCAGTAACTTCCTCTCTCACCATTTGCCATGCTGTTTTGAAGAAGCCTGCACCAAATCCATCCGGCCCAGGGATTTTGTTGGCATCCATCTCCCATATTGCCCTTTGAATTTTGTCTTTGCTTACTGGCTTGACCAACTCAATCTGTTGTTCCACATTTAAGGTTGCACCTCTTTAAACACTGTAGGATCAACAAACTTCCTCACTGTTGACTGCACCAATAGTTGCTGAAACTACTTGATAAAGTGTTCATCAATCTCTCTACTTTAAGAGACTTAGTACCATTCTCATCAAAGAATGACCAAATTCTGTTTTTCATAGTTCTGATTTTGAGAGCTGAGTGAAAGTACTTAGTATTTTCATCTCCCTCTGCTACCCACTTTTCCTTTGCCTTCTGTTGCAAAAAGCTATTCGTAGCTTTCCTTGACTCAATATATTGATTGTACATCCCCTTTTTTTCACTTGCAGCTCTTCATTAACAGGGTCTTGGCTAATAGCCTCCTGACACGCCTGTAATGCCACTTCATCCCTATTAGCCTGTTTCACAATATCATAGAACTATTCCCTATTTAGTTGCTTTGGTTCCACCTTCAATCTCTTTAATTTTAAGCATACTTGTAGCATCTTAGTTCCTTTCAGTGGTTGATGGGTGTCGAGACCACCAAAATAAACATGTTTAAAACTTGTAGTAAGTGATAAGAAGGGTCGATCCGACAGGGACGGGAAATACTTAATGAAAATTGGTCCAGTACTAGAACAAAAAACAAAAGTAAAAACAGCAAATTGGCAAGTGAGTTTATGACTCGGCAAAGTGACAGCAGCCTAGGGTCGTCCTCCACTCTACTCTATATGCATATGGATTGATTCTTTTAGCTCTCTATATGGTATGAACTGTATTCAATCAGGCACATAAACACTGTAAGGTCACTTCCGATGTTCCAGACAGAAGTCCTAATAGTAACCAGTAAACTAACTTCCGTTGTCAACTCAAAATTACTACTAAATCATTAAGATTTTCGGCCCTTATGATCGTCTCGTGCCAAAACTAACTTCCGTAGTTGTTTGAAACTTTGGGCTATTACCCCCTCATTACCGGTTAATCCTAGACGTTCTAAGTTAAGTTTACCCTTCCGGAATTCCCCTAACATGCAAACACAATTAGTTTGAATGGCTTGTTCAAACTAAAAGGATAATTTAAACTCTAGAAATAAGCATAAAAATATCATCCGAGAGCATGAATCAAAACATAATTATATAGAGTAGAGGGGTTAGACCCTAGAAATGAGCTTAGCTGCTCATGGAGTGAAGCTCAAACACCACAAAGTTCAGATGTTGAAACTCTATCCTGATTACAATAGAAAGAGAAGAAAATAGGGGAAGAGTAAAGTTAGGGAGTGTGGTAAAGTGCAGCTGACTTCGCAGAGTTAGCTTCTCACTTCCCTAAGTGACACCCCTGAGTCTAACTTCCATAATTATACTCTGTTTCTTCCTAACTGAACTAAAACTACAATCTACTCTACTTCTAAGTGTATTCTAGTGTTGATGCCTTCTTCTTCAGCTGCTACTGCCTTTTATAGCGGTTAGGGGGAGAGACCTTGCTTAGCTATGTGGGTCTCCTCTTTACCCGATGGGTTTTATGCAAAAGATAGGAGACCCATACTTCTCCCAACATTCCCCTTACCTCTAATCATCATTTGGAGAGATTTAGTTGAATAATTCAGCTTTAAGGCACATCAATCTTTCTCCAATGTCAGTAGGATCACTTCACCAACGGCTCTTCTTCCCTAGCTTCAAATGTTTGCTCCAATTTGCCTCTCTTCCCACCGGATTCTTCCTCTTCTTCAGACCTTGCATTTCAATCCCTGCAACATCTTCCCATTTGGCCCGAAACTTCACCATTCAGCTACATTTTGACCACCTTTTTGCTTATATTGTATGTCAGCCCCTGGATTATCATAAGTCGCCAAATTAGCCTATAAACATATTATCCTAACCTAATTCACCTAAAATTAAAGTATAAAGATGTAAAATAGATGCCTAAAAACATAGTACAAAATGCATTCATCACTGGTCTTTCCCAACTATCCTTAACAACCTATAGATACTTTCAGGACAAACTCCACATATTAAGAAACCTAAAGGGTTTAGGTATATTTCGGAATATCCACCTCCAACCTCACTTGTAATGGAGCATGATCTGAAATCCCTTCTATCAAAACAGACACCAGGGACTCATTAAATTTATCAATCCATTCCCCGTTTACCAAAATGTTTCTGGCCGGCAAAGGGTGCTCGGGCCTACCTGAGCCCCTATGTAAGTCAGACCCTAGTCCATGGCTTTTATGGCTCCCCAGGATCTAGATTCTGACTTCATTATTGATCAGCTTCAAACCTTTCCTATACTGATCTGGTATTCTTAGTGAAAAACCTCTTATTCCTTTCTTCCCATACATGATAGATGTAACTTGCCAATACAGACCAGAATATTCTCTCTAGGTATGTAAATCCATCTTTCAAAACAAAAAGATATTTTCCTATTACCCAACCAGTTTTGATCAAGAGTGAGCAACTGGGAAGAATAACCAGATTCCAAAAATTAATGCTCTACCTACTCATCAACAGGATTTCACAAGATACATCTCCAATCAACCACTAAAACATTGAGATATACCAGCCTGTATTTGGTAAGAACTCTTTGTCTCCAAACCAACCAACTGGTAGCATCATGCTTTGGAATATTTTGTCTTGACCAGGTACATTGAGCTCCTTTTATTTTCTCCTTCATACCCATTAGTCAGTCATAACTTAGATAGTATACTTACCATGTACTGTAGCCAAGGTTTTCGAAATCGGGATTTCACTATGGATCCTTTTAGTGTTGTAGTGTCACGGTCGTGACACTTTTAGAAATATTTAAAAAGTTCTAAAGTATTCGAGAAATGTGTAAAACATCATGAACATGTGTAGAATATTTTAGAATGGTGTAGAACTCTTTGGAACCTTCTAGAATCTAGTAGAATGTAGGACAATGTAGAATTACCTAGAAGATTCTAGGTAATGCTAGGTTCATGTTCCATGTAGAATATTTTAGAATAGTGCAGAACTCTTCAGAACTTTCTAGAATCTAGTAGAATGTAAGACAATGTGGAATTACCTAGAAGATTCTAGGTAATGCTAGGTTAATGGTCAAGAATAGTCTAAAAGTTTGGAGGTAATTCTCGTAAAGGAGGTGGAAGAAACTTCTAGGACCTTAAGGGTTTGCCTATAAATATGGCAAACGGCTTGCCAAGGTGGAGTTATCCATGGCCGACCATCAAGATTGTTGGGAAGAGCATGCTTCCACAGTGAAAGTTATCTATAAGGAATGCATGGAGCAATTCAAGAGTGAATTGCAAGAGATCATGCAGCGAATGTGTGAAGAGATGCTTGGGGCACTTAACAGGGTGTTTGAAAGGGTCACTAAGGCTTGAAAGGAAAATGCAGCCAAGGTCACTATGCTCCAAGGTGATGTGCTCAAACTCAGGGATAATTTTGAGACTTATCATGCACAAACAGAGCAGCTCAAGGTATGAGTGGATGCTCTATGTGCACAAGGGACGACCAGAGTTGGAGGGCGAACTCCATTGGTCGATGTACCAAAACCAGATGTGTATACTGGTAGCCGCAAGACAAGGGATGTAGAGAATTTTCTTAACGGACTTGAGAGGTACTTTGGTGCTATGGGCTTGACGGACGATTCGGTAAGATTCTATCAAGCCTCTTGTTATTTGAGAGATAGTGCTTTATCTTGGTGGAAATGTATGATGAAACCAGGAGGCCAAGACGCACCAGTTTTCACAACTTGGGAAGGATTTAAGGAGGAATTTAAGAAACAATTTCTCCCAGCAGATGCTGAAGTCGAAGCTAAGGCCAAACTTCGTCGCTTACACCATAAGGAGGGCTACGTAAGGGAATATGTGCAAGAATTCTCTGACCTTATGCTTGAAATTCTAG